TGGAAGAAGCCCAATTTTTTTTTTTTTTTTTGGTGGAATCGGGGATTGAACTCAGGCCCTTGTGCTTGCCAGGGAAGCACTTATTCCACTGAGCCATCTCCCCGGCCAGAGCCCTGCTTGAGTATACAACGAGCATCTCCCAGAGTCTCAACTCTACAGGCAGAAATCACGTGACTTACACAGTTCCAGCTACAACAAATGAGGTGCAATAATTAAGTGTCTTTTCTGTTGCTACTAAGGATCACTTGATCTAGCTTCTTATTCTTTCTGAAGGCATTGCACAATCAACCAGATATGTGAAGTCCTTGGGTTTCATTTCCAAACAGGTTCTGGCAAGCTTCCAAACTTCTGACTCAGAAGGGCCTTTCCACCAGGAGTCAAGATAAACAGCTTCTACAGAGCTGCCTGTGCTTGCTAAAGCATGAACATTACAAAACAAAACACAAATGGACAAAGTGTGGAATGTGGCTACGAGCACCCGACTGCAAAATTTAGCATAAGTAAAGGATACAGAGAACAGACCCAAGACACACACTTTTTTTTTAATTTTTTTTATTTTAGGGAAGGGCCTACAGGGTGTTTAGTATCTCACTACTAGATCAGACTCATAGTGATCTGCCTATTTACAGCCTCCCAAGAGCTGGGATTACAGGCTCGTGCCACCATGCCCAGTCTCAATTGCTGTCTCAGCACGTCCTGGGGGTGGGGCTGGCATGGCAGTCCCTGGGATTGAACCCCCGGCCCCTGCACCTGCTTGCAGGTTCTTTAATCTGCTGAGCTATTTGGCCAGCCCCCAAAACATAGTAAGACAGGTTCTAGATTGGATAAACACGCTCCATTGTCTCTCCCACCAAATGTACCTACAAACCTGGACAGAAAGCGGCCACAGCTAGCTAAAGACTGAGAAGTACAGAGGCAGGTAGGCAGTGGCATTGGAAGTACCACCAAATTAGCAATGGATTTACCGCTTCTTCCCCTTTCCAATGCACCTCTCTCCATCTGAATTCACCACCACAGGTGGGTGCTCATAAGGTGTGGCACGAGCTGCAGAAGTTTAGGGGTCTCAGGAGCAGAAATGGGTCTCCTGACAGCCACGCAGCTATGAAATCCTTTTCCCTCTTTCTTTTTGATCCCCCCCAGCACCCACACAATGCTGGAGAGCAGCAATGGGGACACCGAATCCCACAATTCAGAAAGAGGACACCCTGCCTTCCTGACTGGAGAAGCTGCAGTCCATGGAAAGCAGACGAACAGCCCTTGCTTTGTTTCTCTCTCTGACCTCCCAACTCCTGGCCCTGATGCTAGGAAAACACTAAGCTGAAGAAACAGAAGAAAGAAGCTCAGAGAAGAGAGAGTACCAGGGAGCTCACAGAGAAGGAGAAAGTCAGAAGAGCACCCTTTCAAAGCTGTTCGAGGGCCCCCACCAAGGTATCGGCTGACCCTCATGAGCTGTTGGCGCTGATGGCCAAATTCTCGGCAGAGCGGTGACCAGGGGGACACACGTGAGCCCAGCCTGAGGGGCAGACCGAGGCAACCCCAGCCTCCGGGGGCGGGCACGGTGTGGGGGCAAGTGCGAGCAGGCAGCTGCCAACACGACAAAAGCTGTCATGGGCCTGAGAGCGGAGCTCATAATGTGCACTACAATACCGTAGAAGGTAAGATCCAAAACAGCTGGCATCTAAACCAGAAGAAAATCTCAACTTGCATGAAAAAGACTCAACAAACACAAATCCTAGGGGGATACATATGTCAGAACTTTTTTTCAGTTGTAAATTCTGGAGTTTATTTTTCAGTGTAATCTACCATTTTGTGATTTCTTCTTCTGTTTTTGTTTTTTGATACCAGAATTCTAAATTTGTAAAGCAACTATTACAAAAATACTCCAAGAAGTAATAGTAAAGACCGGAAATGAAATACACAAAGTCAGGGAATGGGAGAATGAAGAACCAAATTAAATTTTAAAGCAAAAATATACAGTTAAAAAAAAGAAAGAAAAACAGCTGATTGAATGAACTCAACAGCAAAATGCAGATGACAATGGAAATCACTTAAATGGAATAACTACAAGAAAAAAAAAAAAAAAAAGAAAAAACAGCAAAATGCAGATGACAATGGAAATCACTTAAATGGAATAACTACAAGAAAAAAAGACTAGAAAATGAAAGAACAGGGTACCCCAGAGACCTGTGGAACAATACTAGGATTAAGTATTCCTAACCTGAAACACTCGGGACCAGAACTGTTATTTAAGAGATTTTTGGACTTTATATTTGTATTGACTATTAGCTGAAGATCTAATCAAACCCAATATTTGAAATGCTCTGATTTGGACACTAAAAGGCTGCCCAAAGTGGGGGCTGTAGACATAGCTAAGCAGCAGATTAGCACACCCAAGGCTCTGGATTTGATCCCTAGCACCTCCCAAGTTTCAAATACAGCCCTCAAAAAACTGAGCGAGGGCCGGGGAAATAGCTCAGCATCATAAGTACCTGCCTGGCAAACCCGCAAAGTCCTGAGTTCAATCCCTCATTTAAAAGACAAACAAACAGGGGCCGGGGAGATGGCTCAGTAGAATAAGCGCTTGCCTGGCAAGCGCAAGGGCCTGAGTTCAATCCCCGGTTCCACCAAAAAAATAAAAATAAAAAACAAACAAAAAAACCAGTAAACTTGGTGTGGTGGTATACACCTGTAATCCCAGCACTTGGGAGGCTGAGGCAGGAGGACTGCTTCAAGTTCGAGGCCAACCTAGGCTACACAGTGAGTTCTAGAGATAGGAGGACTGTGTAAGCCCAGTAGTTTAGGGCCTGCCTAGGTGATGTGGGGAAACTCAAAAGAAAGGAAAAAAAGCTTCCAATTTGGGACGCTCAAGAATGT